CTGTACAAGGAAGGGTTGCCAACAGCACCCATCATGCCTGGGAGAGAAGATAGAAGTGGGAAGTGCAGAGGTGGCTCAATGCATTTCTTTTTAACTCCTGACTACAAAAAGTGCCTACACTGACCTACATAAAGTGCCTACAGTATGCTTTTGGTGGTAGAAGCAAGTAATTGAAATAAATACCTGCTATTTAAATATTCCTTTATTTAAATAAAAGGAAGCAAATCTGCAATGAACAAGACCCCGTACTTGAAGGCAGGCTCCCAGACTGTGTCTCTGTCGGTCCCATTGTCGGTTACAGAATTCTCAGAGAGTGCACAGGGTTTATGGACAAAGCAGAAATTGAGGATTTGTTTAATTAGAGATGTCATTATAAAAGCACTTACTAATCTCTGCTGCCATTCTGTTCTAAAATTGCAGTGTAATCAGCTGGCACCTTTACCCTCCTTACTGCTAGTTTTGTGTATAACTGGCTATAGCAAAAGAAAAAAAATCAACAGGGCATACCAAGGAAAATGATGCGTTATTTAGAAAATAGCAAATTATGCCTTATAGGGAAGAAGAAATGGAAGATCATCTCTCTGCTGGATCCAAGAGGGATTACTTTTTTTTTCTTAAGTTGCACTCAGAACATTGAGGGTGTAGTCTGTGGTGTATCCATCAAGCTGTACCATTAAGTCTAGACAAACCAAATGAATTAAAACACAGTTCACATCTGACCAGGAAATAGTAAGAGTATCTTATCAGCATCTCCACATTTAAACATGCCTAAATGGCCAGGTCTCACATACTAGTTTTCAATTCAAGTGGTCTTTTACTTCACTAGAATTTCTGGGACTGAATTTATTAAGATTTTATTTGAACTATGTTAAATTATCAAATGAAGCTCTTTCTTGTTGCAGCTGTCCATTTAAATATTTTGTAATAAGGAAAACACTTTACAACCACAGAAACCTGAAAGACTCATCAATGTTTTTGGAAAAGAAGGAGAGAAACTCCAGAAGGTACTTTATTTTGCATATCTTCCTGGGGTAGCTAAATAGAGATCATCACATCTTTAAGCCACTTGCTACTGGATCAAAACTTACATGTCTGGAGGCATTCAGTTAAGGGAGCAGTTACTATACTGTTGTTTGAAGAATGATCCAAAATGTCTCTAGATGACAGCAGACTACAATACTGTTTTCATTATTTTTCTTTATTTAGAAAACAGAGTAAGACAGGGATAAATACACAGTTTCACAATACAGAAAGGAAACAAGAGTGCTCTACAGCTAGAAAGAGAGGTCTGAGCTAGTTTTACGCAGACTGTTTATACGATAAAGCAGTGAAAGCTCTTCTGATGTTGGCAACAAATGCAGGAAAATTGTTCGTTTCTCTCACTTTGAGCTGGAACTCTGCTATACAGTCCAGAGTAGGAGTACAGGAAGTCACTAAAATGACAAAAATTTCCAAAGGATGAGACTTATTAAAAAAAAAATAATATTAGTGTTTTCACATGCTTCTGAAATACTAATGTAGTTTGTTATCTTTTTATGTTTTAGCTTCCACAAGTATTATTTTTGAGTAGCCTCATTTTCTGTCAGCAAGGACAAAGCCTCAAAAAACACAACAGGTTTTTTGATTTCCTGACTTCCCACTCAGTGCTGTGCTCCTACGTGAATTGTTACAGCAATTCCAAGTAGTCCATAGCCTGGTCAAAAACTGAAACACATTTCTAAATAGTTTTGTTGCTCTGCCAGCAGGCAGATTGTAAACTGATGTAACCCAGTATGTGATGTACTTTTAACTTCAAAAGTTTAAACTTGAATTAGTAAAACCAGAAATCTATTCAGTCCATACCTAAAAGCCCCAATAGCATCTATCTAGACGCTTTGCAGCACAGCACTTAAATTCTTCATAACTGAAGTAAGATCCATATTGCAAAACAAGCTTTAAGATCTGAAATGCTGTATCCTTACAGAAATCCCGATTGCTGGATTTCAAGTTTTATTCTTTTATCTATGTCACCCTGTAAGGGTTTCTCTGCCCTCTAGGTTTCTCAAATGAAGTTGAAATATGCTTGTCAGCATAGACACTGACTCCAGCATAAACAAACTACAAAATGAAGCATCCTTATCTCTGTATATCCTCTTTCTCCCGCTTTGCTTGATAAGAAGTAAACAGCATCTCCAAAATGGAGAGTGAAGATAAGCAGTTATATTTTCATGTAAGTTAATAAGACAAACATAATTAAAGAAACTATATTACCATTGCAATGTTTTTCACTCAAAAATTGGAAGATAAAAGTTACAACTAAACTGCACTTTGCTCCTCTCCACTTTTTTCAAATAGAGGCATCAGATTCAGTCCTCTTGTGTACATATTCAAAATTCACATACCTTCATAATCTCCTTGGTCATTTATGGAAAGGGTAAACGTGTATGGCTTGTCAGGATCTTTGTGGTCAATGTGTCTGAATATAAACTGTAATTGTTCATCTAAAATAAACACAAGTAGAATTAATTAACACCATTAACCTCTGCTGGAGAGTCACAATGAAAACTAAAAATCACAATATGAAGTTAGTTTCAATTAATATTCTTAGAACATTTATAAATTAGGGAACCCTGGTCTCTTTGAAAGACAAATGCATTTCAACATATTTTGCCATTTGAGAAACAATGGTAATGCCTGGGCTCAGACAATTCATCAGGTGTGTATGCTGGTTCTTCACTGCACAATCCAGCATTGACCACATTGGATCAGTGCACATGGGAAATACAGAAACCACAGCAACTTACCGTGAATTCTGCGTATCTCCAATCCAAGACACTCCTCAAACAACACTTTAGACTTGCACAGTCGTTCCATTTTCTCCTTGACAGCTTTGTCTTTAGAAGACGTTACTAGAATTTTAAAATCCACCATAAGTATCAAAGGCAAAACAAGCACATGAAAAATATTTAGAACAGTAGAAAAGCCCTAAAGAACAAGTGTTGAAAACAACTCCTCCTTCAATTAAAAAAATTTCCTTATTATCCGTTGCTTACTTACTTTCCATTTGCTTCACCAACTCTTCTTTTAACTCTTGGATGCTGTCAGTCAAGTTCTTCTGTTGCTCTTCTTCTTGATTTAGCTTAATTTCTGCCAACTGCTCTTCCTTTTCTGATATACATTTGCTCTGCTGGAGAATCTCTGAAAGGAAGCAAGAAAACATGAACACATACAGTTGATTAAGTAGGCCCCTGCTATTTAATACTTAAGTAATTTGAGATGATTTATTTGAATAAAGTGTTGTGAAATGCATTCTATCTCAGCTGCAAAGAGAAGTCAGTATAATTACACGAAGAGTATCAAATAAAGTTTAGAGTGAAAGTTACTCCTAAGAGAAGCTACAAAGTAGGGAGCTGTGATACTTCAATCAGATGTGATGTTTTCTAGTGCCAGCACTGTATACATCTTCACAGCCTGAAGACAGTGGATCCTCTCCACAAATAATTTGACAGAAAGCAAAGAATGGACACACTGACTGATATTAGAGTTACAATAATATTTACCTGATATTCTGAAGTTTAACTACAAAATTCAGAGAAGTTGACCCTGAACTGATGAGCTGACAGTGTTCTCTTACTAATATGGAAAAGGCATAAGTAACCTCACAATATTTAACTTTACTAAGCAATTTAATTTACTTTTTCTATTGAAGTCAGCAAGTTTTGGTACTTTGTTGTTTAAAATACTTAAGCACCAAAATCACTATGCAGAAAACTGACTTATCTTTTTGCACTATCAATGAAATTTTTCAACAAATTTCTTTTGAATTGAAATTTACATCCTGTAACCAACCAAATATGTTTGGTTTTAATTCTATCTTCATTCTGATGTTATTATTTACCTTTTAAAATGTGAAGTTAAATATACTATTCAGCTGTATTTAGGTAATTTTAGAAATGTTAGACAATAAATAAAACACCATACTGTACCATTGTTATACTCCTGAATTTTGTCAATCATCAGGTCTCCTTCTTTCAGCTTCTTGGACCATTTCGCTGTAATGGAAAGTTACTTTAGTTATCTGAAGAAGTTTGATGATAACTTGCAAAACGTAGAGGCAAAAGGAACATAGAGCCTTTTTACCTGAAAGCACGTCTATAGACCCCTTGCATGAATCTCTCAGCGTTAAAGTCTGATTGATCTGTTCAGTGCCATAAACGCTTTTAAACTCGATCCAAAACTCTTTCATATCTCTTTCAAAGAGAGTTATTTCATCTTCTGTCTTTGCATTAGCCATGGTGCTGTAACACACCTGTCAGTGAACAGACACAGCGTCAGGACACGGGAGGCAGAGCCAGCGGGTGTAACTCACGGAATAAACCCTCGGAGCTGCTTTGGTCCCCTTGCCTTGTTGTTGAAACCTCTTCCCGCAAGTCGGTTTTTTTTGTCACCACTGGCTCAGCGGGAGCCGCGTTCCCCTCGCTCCTCTCCCGGCGCTCAGTTGCTGCGCTAGGCGAGGCCCCGCCAGGGTTCCGGCGGCACCGCGGCCGCTGCAGCCGGGGCGCCCCCGCCCCTTCGCCATCCCCCCGCGAGCTGGCACCGAGCCGGGGCCGGGGCCGGCTTCCCACGCCGGCAGCCTGGGCCAGGGGTCGGACCGGGCGCTCCCCTGCTCTGGCCCCACCGAACCCCCCACCCGCCCAGACCCACCGCGTTCAAACCGCGCCGCCTTCCCGCCGCCAACGGTCCGCGCGGCCCGCCCCGCAACAACCGCCCCGCTCATTGGCCCAGCCCCGCCGGGGCCCGCCCACGCCGTTGCTGTGGTAACGCCGCGCGCACGGGGCGGGGCTGCCGTGAGGGGCGGAGCGGGGAGCGGGGAGCGGGGAGCGGGGAGCGGGGAGCGGGGAGCGGGGAGCGGGGAGCGGGGAGCGGGGAGCGGGGAGCGGGGAGCGGGGAGCGGGGAGCGGGCCTTGCCCGGGGAAAGCCTGTGGGGATAAACGCGTTTCCTGAGCGCCCGCTAAGGGCGCTGCGGCCAGGTTGCCCGGGGGGACAGCCTGCTCCGTACTGAACAAATCGGGCTCGCTCTGGGGAGCGGGACGGTTCCCTTTCGCTCCTCTGAAGCCGCAAGTTGTTTCCAGTGTCTGTTTTACTCACAGAACACAGTCCTAAGTTTTGTGAGGCTCCTGAGTTGCCTTTTAATTCCCCAGGCCTGAATTCTGTCGAGTGTGGATAACAATTTACCTCTTAAGGTAGATCGCAGTGAGAGGAGTCCGACCTGCACCTCTTCGATGCGAACAAACCCATCACACAGTAGCGCTGCCCGCGCCCGGTCAAACACTTGCATAAGCCTCTGTCATAGCGAATGTGCTCCTTATGACACGGTGCCTGCTTTTTCTCCAGTTCTTTATATTCCCTTTTGGCTCTTGATAAGCACTAATTTGTGATCCCAGATAGCAGCCTTCAGTTTATCACAAACGCTACTTTTGATCATTTTGTTACCACAGCTAATTATTTTCTCCTAGCTTTACTTTTTGCCGGTGCTATTTAGTCTCAGAATAACGTCAACTTATTAAAGCGTTGAGAATTGCTCTGAAAGAATTAATTACTGCCTTCCCCCCACCAGACCCAAAGCAAAGGCTGAGGTGAGACCACCAACTATTAGTTGTGTTACTCTTGTATAAAGAGTATAAGCACTTGTATAAGCACTTCTATCCCATTGTATTCCTGTCTCACTTGACTTGGACACCTCTTCTCTAGATTTCACAGTTTCCTCAGCATTAGTCCTAAAACTAATAGACCTCTGTTTCTTATCTGCTTTACACTTAAATATACTGAAGTTGGGCTGTTTCAAGAATGATTACGTAGCCAAGTATAAATCTGGGAGAAGGAAAGAACTGCTTGAAATATTCTTCTCTTCCTAATTAAAAAATTAAGATGTATCTTCTCAGTGTTCCACTTGGAAAATATTTATACTTAGGAAAATAGCTGTCAGCTGTTGTATATAATGTCTGCTGGTGAATTAAGTAAATTACTCATTAATCCTTGTAGCTGGTCTAGCGCCAATGGAAACACTGATGTGGAAATTAATGCTATTGTTCAATTAACTAAGCATAATGTACCAGAAAGTTAGGCCCAGCACATAGGCCTCCATTAACAGATTTCAAAGAATGTTTGCTTTGATGGCTTTTCCTTCTCTTGCAAACATTTACTTAACAACATCTGATAACAGTTATGTAATATTTGCTCTAATATGTAGGTGCAAGGGAGCTGTAAACATTTTATCCTCCCTTCAATGGATCATCAGCATGATTCTTGTTTCTATGTTATTACCAAGAACATATAAAGTCTCTAGTTTTGTATGTCTTGGAAAATAAAATGAGAAATTATCAATAAAATTAAAAACTCTTTATATGAGCAGATGGCATTTTAAAGGTTTTTTGCTTTGTACTAGGAACTAATTTGATCATGTGAAGGCCAAACCGTGGTTCTGCAATATCAAAACAGGACAAAAAAGGTAATTGCATACACTTTCTGACCATTTTGTATAGATCACTAGTTTTCCTTGCAGTTCCACATGCTAAACTACAGCAAATAGTTTTATTTCGTATATTATCTCAAGTGACTTTGAAGTACTAAGTGCATTACAGAAGCATTTTGCAGGTCTTTGCATAGAAAATGAGTGGGGGAAAGTTTATGAAGGAAATATTTCTCTGTTAGTTTAAACAAATTATTAAATATAGTATTTCAAGACATGTTTTGCCATCTTTTCTGGTTATTAGAGCTTGGAAAGTCTTTAGTGTCTCAGACTTTCATTGGTTGTGAAGTACTACAGGCAGGACAAGAGATGACTGGCATGTCAGTTGTTGATTGCCTCTTGGATGGAGCAGGATCATGAGTGTGTCCAGGTACAATGAAAACTGTCTCTTTCACAGAAACCTGCTTACCTATTCCAAAAACTCCCTGCTTGCTGTCTTGCAGATTGTGGATTTGTTGCTGTTTTTTAAACATCCTTTGTAAACATGACTCCTCTAGTATCTCTAAGGTGAGAATGCAGGAGCTGCTGAAACTCTCAGAAAGAATACAGGAGAAAATGAAAGCTTTTTAATGTTTGCTGTTAGCTGTTAGTCTTCATTAGGTCTAAGGTGTTTATCTTCTACCTAAGCAGAAAGATAATCAGCAGCATAAGAATCAGCAGGAAAATCTTGAAAACTATTATCAGGAGGCCTTCAATATGTAGACTAAAAGAGGTTACTTTACTGAAACAAGGCCAAGATATAACTTCAAACATTATATTGACAAAGTTTTTGGGGAACCAAAGTGTGCCTGAGTGGTTCTGTCTAAAGAAGAGTTCAGCCTGAGCAGATGCATCGTATCCCAGTGGATAGATAACATGGGTGGGTGAGTTTGTATTTGTATATAAAACAAACATGCAAAAAGTTATTGCAATGGTTCCGCACATCCTGTGTCAGAGAGGCAACTTCTCTGATACTATTGAGTAACAGTGGTGCCATTAAAGAGGTACCATAAAGGGTTGGTTATTACTTGGCAGACACTCTTTAAAGGACTTGATGGAAACTGACTGACTTACTGCAAAATATTTTTTCTTATAGAACAATAGTTATTTCAACTTAGTTAAAACCAGCAACTATGATGAGGTTAAGTACTAAAAGAAAGATTGTTGTTATTCATCTACCAACTGACTTGACATTTACACTCACATTTACAGTTAATTATTGTTTCTAAACAAGATTGAAAAAGAGAGGAAAAAGATTCTCTACAGTTTTGCATGCTAACCTCAGACATGTATAAAAGAGTGATTTTTATTGTAAGTCTTACTTGTCTTTAAAGGCAAGATACTTTTGCAGTAAAAAAATGTAGCCAAAGGACATTTTCTTTAGTAATAAGGTATAAAGAGTTATTTGCGAGAGATATTTGTAAACAAGTACAATCTTGGAAAAGAACTGGGAGAGGGAAAATTAATTCCATCTGTTCTTTTATATGACAGTTGCTTTGCTGTACGCTGTGAAAAGCAATAATCTATAAGGGTTAGCAAGAAACAAACCTCAAATATTTTCAGCTAAAAAGCTAGGAAATATTTATAGTTGAAATATCCTTAAATTTTGCTTTTGGAACAGTTTTCCTTGAAATTAGATGATACCAGTTGAAGTGAGTAATTCAGTCAATGCAGAGAAAAATACTGTAGTAATTCAGAAACAGTGCATAGAATTTTAAATCTGTTTTTAACTTTAAGGTTTTCTATTAAGCTCAATGCAACTGGTAGCAATAAACGTATAGGATTTAAAACTGCTAAAAAGTTTCTAAAACCAGACTATTAATAGGTAAAGTAAATGGGAGTAAAGTAAATGTGAGGTTGTGTCAGGAGGAGAGGTCTTCTAAGTCCATTTAATTGTCGTGCCTTATTTGTTGAACCTACTTGATGTTTCCATGTGACTTCCCCGAGGACACATCATAAAGCCCTGGTAAGCCATTAAGTCCTTCTTCAGCACAACCAGTTAAGTGGTTCATATCTTTGTCTCCACAACTTCTGCAGTTTAACTTGAAGTGCCATGGAGAGAGCAGTAGGGGAAGTGTGCAGTGCATATATAGAGCTGCTTTTGTCTTCAGATTCTAATTGTTTCAAATACATAAATAATCTTCGATAGAAGATATGAATATGCTGGAATATTAGAACCTGATAAGGAGCTTGAAATTTTCCTCTTGCTGCTCTGATAATATCAGAAGATGGTATCATCAGGCTTTTAGTATCCATTTAATATCTAGTGGAAAAAGTTTTTTCATCTAGCCACCTCACAAATTAACATAATCTTTCCCCGTTCTACACTTATTAGCACTAATATTGATAAATCTGATGTGCTAATATATTATCTGTTGTAATCTTTTAAAATCCTGCTATGTGGCAGAATCTGTTTCCTCTTGGCTGTTTGCCCGGGATGTTGCCCTGTGCTTCACTTGGGAATACTTCAGGAAAATACTCATAATCATCTATTCCCAACCTTGCTCTGGTTTGCAAAGCAGGTCTCATTTCTGCAGGGCTGGGCAGTCAGAAGTGGGGCTGCAGCTCCTTCTGGAAAAGCTGTGTAGGGCTTGCATCGTGTAAGCAATGCACAAGAATGGTGGTACCAAATGATGACTCGAAGACTAAGCTTCATCTGCATTGTGCCCTGGATTAACAGGCCTCTAGTGTGAAGGTTATTTAAAAATAAATCTATAGCTCAACAGCCTCATTGATGTATGGATGCTGGTTGTATTTTCTGTGACTGAAAAATGTGTTGTCAAAGTATTAGTAGCAGCATGGTAGCCAAGTTCTATTTCAAAGTGAAATGTACAGCTTTAATGACAGTTCTGCAAAGATCAGTTATTTGTGTATTCTTTCTATCCTTTATACAGGCAACACTTAATGAAGTACACACATTACTAATGTCCATCCTGCAGAGAAATGAACTGTGAGAAAATTTAAGCAAACATGTTCCAACTGTTCATACAAAGGATTACATAAGTTATACATTGTGTTTCCACAAAACTTTCCCCACAATTTGCTGCTGCTCAGCATGTACTTCACTTAGCTTCCTTTAATTAAAATTTGCAAACAGAAAAGCTTTCCAGGGCTAAGAGACTCATGTGCTTTCCCGGAGTTTTGGAGCCACGTGTTTCAAGAATGGCTGGGTACACCACACCAATATAATATAAAGGCAACGTCAATCACCTTCTCTCACTTTTTAATAGCTCCCCTCCACGGTTCTCATTCTCTGTTACTAGAAACTTAAGATTAAAGGAACTTTACTATATTTCAAGTACAGTTTAATCCATTAAGATGGATCTCCTCCATAGCAATGGCGTGCTTATCATTCAGCATTTACAGAGGGACTACAGGGCTTACCAGGATTTCCTTAATTTTATGTCACATGTTGGTGATCCGCGGAATATATTCTCAATTTATTTTCCTCTTTGGTTTCAGCTCAACCAAGTGGTTGGTACTAAAATGATATGGGTGGCAGTCATTGGTGATTGGTTCAACCTCATATTTAAATGGTAAGAAGTTGGATTTATTTTAAAATTTGGTATTTTTAATGATAGTTACTATATGTGCCTCAAGGTTAGAAAACTTTCTGTGAATAACGTACTAGTAGACTTTCCCGTTACTATAAAAGGGGAATTCACAATGCAGGTATTTAAGATATGTTTGAAATGACATCATGGTAAGATGAGAAAAACCTGTAGAACTATTATAGAATAGTTTTGGCAATATAGCTCTTCATATTCTTTATAGGATTATCATGTTTTGCTGAGGCCTTCTTACATAAAAATATTTTCATTGAGTTTCTGCTTTATTTTATTTTATTTTTTGTCAGGATTTTATTTGGCCATCGCCCATACTGGTGGGTGCAAGAAACAATGATTTATCCTAATCAATCAAGCCCATGCCTTGAACAGTTTCCTATAACGTGTGAAACTGGACCAGGTAAGAAATGTTGGAGATTACATTGGTACATTTAATAGGTATAGTGGCTTTGAGGGAGAGAGGATGTGACTTATGAAGGTCTTATATAATATACAAACCTCAGAGTTCATATATAAAATAGCACCAAAAAAAGGAAGAAATACAATGCGACTGGTGTTTGATTGCTATATGACAAAATGTTTACTTCATTGTCTTTAAATAGTGCAAGGAAGGGGGATTTACTTTAAAAATAACTACTAGTAGAATGAACCAGCATATTGGAAAGGAATTTTCACAAAACTTGTGAAATACATTGTTTAATATATTCCAAAATAGAGCACAGGGCTGTTGAGTTTGAGGGCCAGTGCACTATTGCAAGAAATATTCAAACCCCAAAAACTAGTAGGTGTTTCAGTGTAAATAACAATAGTATCAATAATTGTTGATGTAATGTATCATGAGTGGAAAAGGTAACCCCTCTTCCCAGAACCAGACACTGACACTAAACATGTATATATACAAATATATGGGGGAAAATTATTTTTAAAATGTACTTTCTCTGTGTATTTTCACTTTTTTATGTCTCATTGTCTTTTCTGTGGAACTCAAATGCAATACTCCTGAAGTCAAATGAACTTGTGCAACCCTAATATGTGAAATAAGATGAATTTGCTTTGAGCTGACTGACTGAATTTAGTTTAATTCATTGTGCGAGAAAATACTGACTGTGGAAATTAATGTGCTTTGCACCTCATCAATGCCACTGCAAGCTTTAAAGCAGTTTGCATAGCTGAATTTGTTAACAATATCCTCCATTACGTTCCACTGTAATTGTGAACAAGAAGTTTAAGCCTTTGTATGAGGCAAGGTTAAATAATGCCTGGTGTATATGTGATCTGCAGTCTCCTTCAAGTGAATTCATTTGAGACCTAACCCAAAGTATTAAAGTACTTCAGATCTTTTCAAAAGCCTTTTAACTGAGCCCATTCGGTACCATGTAGTTCCAAGCCCTGGCTAAGGAGCCAGTCAGAGTGTTTCATTCTATTCATTGAACCAGATCTTCCTTCTTGTTACTTTCTTCCTGAAGTAACAAGTCATTCCTATTTCTGTTCAGTGGATACAACTGTCATATTGATTCTTTCTTTGCACTTACGACCACATTTTCCCCACCTGCACATTTGCCCTGAACCACTGACAATATCTGTCACTGACCTGCTCCTCATTAACAAGAGGAGGTGCAGTCAGTGCAACTGTTGAGAGCACACAGTCATTGCATGAGCTTACATGGTACTTCACACACTTTTAAAATATGCAAGTTATATTAAAAGAGGAGCAGCCACAGACATGAGAAAAGCATATCCAAATATTGCTAGGATAGCCTGAACCCCAGACTCTCACAGCTCAGCAAGAGGGAAAGCTGTGGGAACTGTTTATATGACTACATGGCAAGCAGGACTTGAATTTGGTTTGTACTTCTGGAACTAGCTGAAATAAAACCCTATTGCCATTTTTTTTCTGATATTTTTAAGGTTTTAAAAATATAAACCTTAAAGTGGAGCTTATGCTGTTTCTAGTAGGTAATTTGCAGATGAACTATGAAACATTATTCCTAGATGACATTTTCCTAAATGACAAGACAGAGGAGCTTTCCCAATGCTGACAGACAACATTACGATTTCCTTATCAGTGACATTTGTTCTGTTGTGAGGTTTAGGAGTGCACATCTGTTAGGCAATTAACAAAAGAGCTGGTAGAGTGACTCTAAAGATGCTGGCAAGCAGAATAGCAAAAATGAGTGCAGGGAGTCAGAAATCATAGTGCTTGTCCTAGGCATTCCTGTTTTGCTACTTCGCTGAAATATCCTATTGCTCTACACACTGCTATATAGTTCTGGATCATAACACTTTCTGGACCCAAAATTATTTCTTCTGACAGTGAAATAACCCTGTCCCTTTTACTTCACTTTGTCTCCACAGAAAGCCAAGCTGTAGAAATACGGGATTGACAGATTTCAGTGATCTAATTTTCTCTCTTTCCCTGTTTTATTTTGTTGAATGTAAATTTGGTGAACAGGGGAAAAGAAGTGGCCAAGTAATTTTAGGAATCATTTCCCTTGCATCATGACAGCATAGTTTGTTTTTTGGTGATTTTCACAGTTGTAGGAACTTTTCTGAGGCTTCATACTGTTTCCAGTAAAATTAAAATCTGATTTGTTAAATTAAAACAAATTACATTTATATTATTATAACCTGGACCAAAAGGAAATTACTGTTTGATCTCTACATAAGAGTGTGTTCCCTGTTACAGACTGTTGGTACAGCAATTGGTTGGACATGTTACAGTATCATTTCATGTGCCAATTTCACTGATACTCTATTTTCAAGCTAGTTGATATGTATGACATCTTAAAATTTATAACATAAATCAAACTAAAGTATAAAGACACAGTTCTTCCATCATGCTTGAGATACATTTCTAAATTTATTACAAAACTACCCAAAATGTTAATTATCTGGATTGTGATATTATTAATGAGACACAGATCTCAATTTTTCACATCACGATAATTGCAGAAGCAGATAAAAGGCAGTTTGGAAGGGTCATCTAAAGTTACACTGTTACTTTAGTTTAGAATGTTACAAAGAGCTAAAGCTCTCTTGCTCCCTTTAGTTATGAGGAGGCCCATTCAAACCCTTTCTCATCTGATCCTCATATATAACTTCTACATTCCATGCTACAGTCCTAAGAGAGTCCTAGATGCCTTTTTTTTTAAAATCACAATCCAGATCTAAATAATGGGAAAACAGTGTTTTCCAATCAAGATTCCACCCCACACTAATATAAGATAGTTAAGCTGTTACCTACTTGATTTCAGACAAATATGGCTTCCCTATAGATGAGAAGTTCATATTGAGAAAATTAAATTTTGCGAAGCAGTTGACATTCTTCCAGCCTTTGTTAGCCATTTCCTTTCTAAATGATTGGGTGCCTGAGTAACTGCCAGTTGTCATTTTCTATATGACAAATGCTACAGTCATCATTCTTAAGGTGAATATTTCCTTTTTGTTTTTACTAGGAAGCCCATCTGGACATGCCATGGGATCATCCTGCGTCTGGTATGTAATGGTCACTGCAGCACTTAGCTACACAGTTAGATGGAAAGATAAATTAGCTGTTACCCTTCACAGGTCAGTGTCTTTCCATTCCTCTAACTCATAAAGATAATTCTTTATATACATGTTATGTTTTTAATTGACTTAATTTAAACAAATATTCATAGTCTGTTCTATCCAGTTTGTAAAAAAAAATAGCAGCCCTTTATTATGATCTGCCTCAGCTAAAGAAAAAGTATATGAAGAGGATTTAGCCATTTGTATAGGTTCTTATTTATTAAATTACCGTCATTGCATACAATATCTCTAAATCAGCTCCTACTAAAGGTTGTGTCACCTCTTCAGTATTGGAAATTTTTGATTCTATTAATTGTCATTATTTATTGGATCTTTTGGTTAGAAAATGAATTTACTGCTTTGATGGTCATCCTTCTTAGCCCATTTTAAAGCAAATGCACATAATGTTGACATAGTTCACTGTAATGTGTTACTCAGCTCTGCGGAAAAGTCTCATAATTGCTGTCAACCTGACAAGGTTCTTCCCACACTATGTAAATTTTATCATGAAATAACTGAACTTTTACATTTAGGTATGACTTCATGATGAGAAATAAGCTCAGGGTACTAGTGCTAATTTAACCTACTATGCATGACTTTCATCACTAAAGCCACAGTGGTGTCTTGGACCTGAAACTGCTGGGGTCTCTTCCTGTAACCACTCTTGATAATGTTTTAGTACTGACTTCCAGGTTTTAATCATCTGATTCTAAACTGCTCTACTTGGTAAATCTCTGGCTGGTAAAAATATGAGCCTGACATGATGGGGCTTGGGATAAATTAGTAGATGAAATAGTTTGTCTTAATTTTTAACCATTTTCCTTTTCTTTCTTAGACTGACATGGTCATTCCTCTGGAGTATTTTTTGGATTATCCAGATCAGTGTGTGCATTTCAAGAGTATTCATAGCAACACATTTTCCTCATCAAGTTATTCTTGGAGTATTTGCTGGTAATGTTTTTTTTTTCTTTTTAACATATTTGTAAAATCTCAAAAAAAAAGAAGTATGAGAAAAGACAAGAGATTTTTCGTAGTGCTACTCATCTTGCAGCCCCAGTGGTGCTCTCCACTCTCTGGAAGGTCAAGGATTTGATAAAAGTTTGCAAGGTTAGAATGTGCCTGCTGCCTTTGTAATTCACAGAGTGAAGGGAGTGAGCCTTTGTCCACTTGCCATGCGATGCTGACTGTGTTATATCCACACTGCCTCAGACCAGCTCTGACTGGTTTGTACTGGCTGCATCCAATCTTTGACTGTGCTGCCTGCGTGGAAGAGATCAGAGAGGAAGTTGTTCCTACATGGCTCTGACCTTTCATCTCAGGAGGAAGGTATTTGGGTCACTTCAAATGGTGACCAGGTGCAAACTAGCATGTGTGCAATGTGGACAAGTATGGGGTCAGAGACATTTGGCAAAATAGAGAAAAAGGTGAATCAGCAGTAAAAACTCCCCAGGGTGAATTAAGAAGCTGAAGTACATTTTTCAGAGTTACTTAAGCATGTTGCAAATTGGTATTCAGGGAGTTCAAACTATGAATAATCTCTCTAGAATCTATCTGATTTTATGGAGGGTGACCAAAGCATTGAGCAGGGGCTGCCTGCTCCTGTTCTCTTTCATGGATGCAGTGCAGCCTGGGTAGCCCTGGCTAACAGCTTTCCCTCTTCACAACCAGGATAAAATGAGTACGAGAGAAGATAAGTGTGTTCTGTGTCTTTTCCTTCAACACTCAAAGCCTGTGTGGGAACTGGTGTTGAATTCTGCATTGCTGGAGCCAGTCTTTGAGTGAGGGACTCTTTTGGAAAAGGAATGTTCCAGTTTACATCTAATATTTGATAGGTTGTCATCTGGGAGATGCAGTCAGGCCTTAAGGTATGCCTCATATCAAAACCATGTAGTGCTTGGTATTTAATTTCTTTTTTCTAAATTGGCAGTTTTGAGTGGGAGAAAAGGTTTTGTAATGTACTACAGAAGTGGTAAATTGTGTGTGTGTATGTGTATATATACACATAGATATGAAAGACATATTCTTCTGTCTTCAAAAGTCAAATTCTACAGGCACACTGTAGAAAGTGCTTCTTCAAAGTACAAGTGTGTTGTTCCCTGTAACACTGAGTTTCTAATCCACAGGCATTCTTGTGGCAGAAGCATTTGAGCATACCCCTGCTATTCAGACTGCGAGCTTGAGAATGTACATCAAGACAAACTTGTTTCTTTTCATCTTTGCCCTTGGGTTTTATCTATCCCTCAAACTTCTTGATATTGATTTGTTATGGTCTGTTCCAAAGGCCAAGAAGTGGTGTGCCAACCCAGACTGGATAAACATTGACACAACTCCATTTGCTGGACTGGTGAGGAATTTAGGGGCACTCTTTGGTTTAGGTCTTGGAATTAATTCTGAAATGTTCGTCACAAGCTGCAAAGGTAAAAATAGCTGCAAGCTAAGTTTTCGCATATTGTGTATAGCTGCTTCTTTAGCTACACTGCAGCTGTATAATTTCATTAAGATACCTACTCATACTGAGTATTTGTTCTACATTCTCTCCTTCTGTAAGAGTGCAGCTATGCCTCTGACTGTAGTTGCCTTGGTTCCATACTGTGTCCACTCATTAATGAAGACAACTGAAAAGAAACTTAATTAAGTAAAGGTTCAAAATGATTAGCAATGTGGGGATGGATATGAGCTGTTCAAGAACCTTCCACAAAGGCAGTTTTGCTAACTCATTTTAACTAAAGGGATGCTACTGCATCTTTGATGTGCTCCTGGTAAGTAACCAGTACGTCCAAAATCAGTACTCTCTAGAATGATTTTGGCAGCTCATAAATATTAGTTGCTGATTCCTAGAAATATTGCAATCACACTGCAGTATGGTTAGAAATGACCCAATACTCTGGGTCATAACAAAGTTTTAAAGTATAATCAACTAGTTTTATTTAGCTATATGGTGGTCTTTAAGTTCTTTCCATCTCTAGCTAGATGATGCTTCAAGCATCAGTTGTACATAGTGATACTCGGTATTTAATTTTTATATATAGATACTGTGTGTTAAACTGCTACATAATGGTGTGACAGTATCACACCACCTACGACTGGACTGTACGGCTGTACCCAGGCACTGTGAAAAAGGCCAGCGTAGTTATAAGCAAGGCTTTACATTTAACTTATTGAGCTTCCTGAGCAAAACAGCTTCTGATTAAGTCAGATGAGAAAAAAGAAGTTTATTTCCATTATACTCTGCAGAATATATTTTTGCATTACTATGTGGGTTTTGTCATTCTTACTTTTTCAAAGTGATCACATAAATCATGAATGATACAGATCACATCTTTGAAAGTTGTCAATGATGAAATTATCTCAGTATATGACCTCAAGAATATTGTTCATGCTCCTATATTGCAAAGATAGCTTTTTGCTAATTCTCTCAGATCAAGAGACACAAGCCTGAATCACTGTTAGTAGTTGTGTAAATCATGAAAATGTGGTTGCAGACTGTCATTGCAACTTTATATTCTTGTCAGCTTTGTTTACCTAAGCACACAAGTAGCTCGTATGTTAAATATGTTTGCTATATAAAATGGATGTTCTAAATAGGCAAAGGTGGGTACTTTCCATTTTTACTCATTATTTGGCATCTACTGTTGCATATTCCCTTTCAGTACACAATTTTTAAGCAATATTTTGCTGATACCATCTCATAATACTTGGTATACAAGCTGTTTATACATAGCCTTAGTATACAAGGCCATAAGACGAGTAATGAGGGCTGTGTATGTATGATCTGAAAAAAATAAGGCTTAGAAGATGTAAACATGATGTTGTTTCCAGACTTCCAATTAGGTGTGGGATAATTCAAACTGAAAGAATCTTATTTAATTTGGGTAAACAAAGTGAATAGTTTTGTATTGGCCTTTAGGAATAAACATTATACAAATTATACATTACAGCAGCAAATCTGAAACAGGCATCCTTATTTAAGAGCCTAGTAAGACTACCTTGACTTAAAAAAATGAGTCATCTGGTTTTAACAGTTTGAGGAGTATTCTACTTTGTCTATCTCCTCATATCTTCTGTACTGGATCTCTGAACTCTTTTTCCTGCAGCAGCTGACCTGAAACCAGTCATTTCTATAATTGTAATTCCTTAAGCAAAATTACTAAACTAATGGGACTAGAAACAAATAACCAAGAACAAAGACAGCCAAGACAAAGATCAGCTGTGTTAAGTTGCTCTGTGCTTTGTTATTCCCTACCAGTGAGGTGACCTACAGAGGCATCACAGAACACTAGCAGGTTGGTCTAGCTGTCCTTCTATTTCTGGCTCCTTCTGGCCAGCAGTAGGGGATGCTTTCACAACAGCATTTGGATTTAGTGGCAATGTTGGCAATTTTAAGCTGGGAGTTATGGGTAGACATCACATTTTTAAGCTTCTACCACATGAGGGTCTCTGCTTCCTGGCCCTGGCAAAGCATCTTGGTGCCTCTGTTGGGATAGACACAACCATAAATGTATAATGACAACTGGCATTTCTGCAGAAGACAGCAAATGACACCATCTACTGTCAAGACTAACAATTCAGGCTTGAAAGATGTAAGCAAATGCCTTTGGGTTGGCTCAGGGACTTGTCACCAAGTTCCAGGGCTGGGACATCTTGCTGTGAGGCAGCTACGGCGGCACGACCAGTCCAGCTCTGCACCGAGCAGTCCATCAAGGCTTGTTGCTCATGCCCAGACATACTGTGTAGCTCCACTTGAAATTTAATCCCTTTGCACAGGTACCAAAGGTCTTTATAATCAACTGGTTGTCAGTAGCACATAGAAATTAAGTGGCAGGAGCTGGCACTCAGCAATGTGCAACTGTTTGTGTGTGCTGTGAGTGCCTGCATGCTTCTGGGAAGTACCAGCATACTTCCCAACACTTAGCTCTCGATATTTCCTAGCTGCTTGAAAACAGGATGTTACAATGAAGAGCAGTAGCAGTGCCATCTAGGTGGGGCCGTGTCCCTGTGCTCCTGCAAGGGGATGACAGGCAGGGGCTAGTGTTCTTGAGCTGGCCTTCTCTGCAGCTCTGTCCTGCACAGCAGACCCTTGTCACAGACATGATCCAGAAATACCTGTTAGCTGGTGCAAGATATTCATGTGCCTGTCTGAAGGGTAAGAGAAGTGCTAAAGTACAAGAGCAAGTGAAAAAATACAATTCATTGGTTTAATTTGGGTCATGAAAATGGTGTCCTTTTAGGCAAAAGACTTATGAAATAAGTACACATAGTCATGGTAGTTTTTAATAAAGAGTCATTATTTTTCCATGGCCTTAAATACTAATATAAATTAAATATCATATAGGTATGTCAGTAGCTTATTCATACTGATATTTATATTGATACTCTGTCGATATTTTCAGTCCTAAGCCATCAAACTAATTATTGCTCTGAAACAAAAAAGGCTGAAAATATTAAAGCAAATAATGCAGCTTTTTTTTTTAATTTCTAGTTAAGGTTTAAAATACAGACTTCCTTGAGAAAATAGCCATTTCAGTGCCAGCTGTGTGAGTTCAGTAGGGACTTTGGCAGCAATTCTATTAATGGATTTGTACAAAAGTTGAAATTGGGTTTTGCTACCTGAAATTAAGGGATGTATCCTAATAAAATTTTCATCCTTACAGCTCTATTCAATTACTGATACTGTTACATAGTTTTATAAAAAGTGGTGTGATTTTTTTATAAAGTGAGTGGAACCACCCCCTGCCCTGCAGATTTTAGGATATGGAGAATGACTTTTCTGGTTAATACTCTATTATTCAAAATCAATATTTAAATGTTGGAACTGTAATTTGTACTTTCAGTCTATCTGCTTTGTCTCCAAGATCCTAGTCACTAAAGCAAAGAGTGCTGTTGTGCTGCAGACAATAACTCATATTTCAGAGAAACCTGCAGTAGATCTTGTAATAAACTGTGATAGATACAAGCTTCTGCCAAAAGAAGCTCCTTCTTGACCTTTGTCATATCTGAATGCATTGTTGGTGTTTATCAACTGTATTTAATGCAAACAAAGAGCTAATTATGGGGTTTTTTCCACCTTTACTGATTATGATTTCTATAAAAATACACATTATTGTCTTGCCTTCCAAAAAAAAAAAAAAAGAACTGGTTTAAATAACTGATGATTAACTGTAGGATTTTACATTAATTTATCCAAAGCATGTATTCCTATTCAAAAATCTATTTGACAGCTTTGATTAGAATGGTGAGTGCTAGGTGGAGAGTGGTGGGCTAGGAAATGATCCTCACCACCTTCTGTTCCTCGCCTTGATTGCTTTCCTTACTTTTGTGGAGCTGCCTTCTTTGTAAGTACTTCCTGGTTTTGTTGAAGGGGCACCGTGGTGTCAGTGCTGTGGCCACACACGGGGGAAGTGCAGCCTCCTCCTCAGCACAGCTGACCTGTGTGGTACGACGGGGTGAAAGGGTGGGGGTTCTGTACCCACAGGAAAGGGATCTGCTGTAATCCTCTGCAGACTGAACATTAGGAGAGATGTGATCCCTTCATATGTACAGCATCATTCCTGGGATTGTTTTCACTCATTCAGCTTACCTAGAGAAGGGGTAGTTTCCAGAACACTGGAGCAGAGTCTTCCTTGATTGCTAGTTGAGGCATGACAGGACTGTGCAGTCTGACTGCAGCTAGTGGCAATTCCACAGGTCATCAGAAAACATCCTTCCCATTTTCAGGCTTGCTTTCCCCTATCAGTGGGCTAATTTACTTCCTGAATGCATTAGCCTGTGCCTAGTTCCCTGCATGTGCTGGACAAATGTGCTTAATGCAGAGCTACATACCTTCAGTGTTCCACAGGCCTCACAGTATTGTAGAGCACTTTGTAGCAAATGGAGCACCAACATGCACATACCTACCATAAAGAGTTTGTTTACAGAAATCTTTCTAATTTAGAATCACAGTAATTCAGCTAATAGGGGCTCCAGTAGTAACAAGTTTCCAGTAGGCTCCCTCCATGGCCATCAGTTCATCATGAGTGCCCCTTTCAATGACGAGTCCCTGGGACATCACCGCAATGATGTCGGCGTTCTGGATGGTGGACAAGCGGTGGGCAATGACGATGCAGGTCCTCCCTTCTCTGGCCTTATCCAGCGCTGCCTGCACAGTCTAAAGGCAACAAAGTGTCAGAGTGAAAATATGCAAACCAAATCAGGGCTCAGAGCTGCAGGAACCCAATTGCTTCAGATAAATTGGCTTTTAAAAGTGACAAGTGAATGAGGCTAAATCAAAGGTTATGATACTGGTGTGCTTAGCTGGGTCATGAACTCTGCTCACAAGCAGTACAAAGGAGGAACAGGTAAACACAGACAGTAGTAGAAATTAATGAAGGGTTTTACTCAGGTAATGTGCTAAGTGTCAGCTCAGTGTGGATATGGTTTTAAATTCCACCATTTCTCTAATCTCTGCAAGTAACCAAGCTACACAAATTATCACCCAAGTTCTTAGGCCCCTCACTGCTGTTTTTATTGGCTAGTCAGGATTATTATTTGTATGCATTAATACATTTTTATTTTGGTTGTTTTTTAATGTACAGTTACATTTATGAACTATTCCCATCTGAATGCTTTGAAACCCAGGCAATTAGTACCCACATTTCTGAAAAAGTGCTGCCTCTTATGGACAGTTTAGGAGCCCTTGGAGCTGACTGCTTTTTTTTATAGCTGTGCCTCCTGCATCTTTTGGAAAGATCATTAAAGATGGAAGTCCTGAATTCACTATACGGAATAACATGCGGTCCTGTAGTGGAGTATGTTGGGATGTCTGTATTGAACAGAAAGGCTTTGTACACCGTAAGCCATTGTATTAACTTTCCCCTATTGCTCATCACTGCACATCTACCTTTTCGCTTTCCGTGTCTAAGGCAGAGGTAGCTTCATCCAGTAATAAAATTTTAGGATCTCGGATGATGGCCCTCGCTATGGCAATGCGTTGCTTTTGCCCACGAGACAGCTGGGATCCTTGTGCCCCAACATTAGTTTCATATTTCTGAAAAATATACAAAAGGAAGATTTTATTCAGTTGTAAGCCAACACAGCAGTACACAGCCTGAAGGAAGAGCAGGAGGAGAGAGGCAAGAATGCTGACCACAGCTGCCTCCTCCTTACAGAAGCCAGGGATGCAGAAACACTGTGCAGTGCTACACTTGTTTGAGGAGAGGTTTCCAAGCCATGCTTTGCCTGCACGTGCTCAGAGGCCCAGGCAACACAGTGATGAGCCTGGAAGAAAACTGTGATAGCAAGATGCTGGCTGATTTGTCTGAGGCAAAAAGAAATCCCCTGCCCTAGACCGGGGAGAAGATGCTAAGAGTGATTTCAGAGCTTGTTTTGTTTGGGTGCCTAAATTGTATCCCCACCTTTAATGTTCTTTTGATTTATGTTGATATGATTTCAGTGCATTTAAATACTTCTTAAGTGAACATAAGCAGCCAGCTTCAAATACTTTTTTCTAAATATCATGCCCTAGTCACAAGGCAAATCTCTTACAGCTGAGAACAGGATTTATATATTTGCCTACTGTGTAAGAAGCCAGTAGCACCTCACAACCACAGTCTCAGGAACATAAGGCATGGTCATGGCACCCTCTTTGCTCCTACAGCTGCAAAAGGACATAAAAGGTGTAGCTACGTGTGTAGCAACTTTAACTGGGTTTGGAGCAACCCCCACTGCAATGAGCACTGAACAGCCTGTCTGTAGTTCCACAGCCAAGGCCTCGCAGGTACTTACATTAGGCAAGGACATGACAAAATCATGCAGTTGAGCCTTCTGGGCTGCTTCTATGACTTTTTCCATGGTCGCCTCTTTCGTGTTACTGCCATATTTGATATTATCAGCAATGCTGCAGTCAAATAGCACGGGCTCCTGTGACACTATTCCAATTTTTGATCTAAGAAACTGTACATTTATGTTCTTAGAGTCATGTCCATCTATTAACTATAAGGAAATGGGAGAAAACTTGAAACATCATTAGGAAACAACAGCCTGCTACACCCAAATACTTTATAGCAAAACTAAACGATTGAACTATATTATTAAAATGCAAACACAACTGATTTAAAGTGATTAGAAGAATTGCTTATATTTGTCCTTTGTGCATGATGTGTATTTTGTGTTATGGCTTTCATTCAGCCAAATGCTAGACCATTTGCTCAATATTAAGTTATAGTGAACTATCTAATTGCTTGAGGTTAGGCACATGCTTTATTGCCTTCCTGACATTGAGATCACCACAAGGATTTTTTCCAAAGAAAGAGAAATCAATCTAGATGGGTATTTACATTAGGAAAACATATAAAAGCTTACTAAGCTATCAGTAATCAAGTTAAATCTAGACAAATTCAACCTGCAAAGAGGCTGCATATTTAGGGATGTTCCAGGCTCTTTGTTGCTCCATTTAGACTTGATTTTTGCTTGTACTCCCACAATATACAGCACACATTATATGTTTCATACAGGAGCTACAAAGGCAAAAGCCTATGGGGTACATAATGCATAAGAGTGCACCTGAGGCTTGTAGTTCTCTTATCTTGCCTGAATACATCTGAGATGATATTTGGGAACTGTCCAAACAGTCCATATCTGTTTGAGAAGGAGCCAAAGCCCCAACCTGCACATGTACACGCTCCACTGCTAGGCTGCACAGGAGGACACAGGCAGAAGGCCCCTGGAGCACTGCTGAAAACAACAGCACAGAAACCATGTTTTCTTTGCTTACCACACTTCCTTTGTCAGGGTCATAGAAACGCTCCAGAAGCTGGACACTGGTGCTCTTACCACAACCACTACTTCCAACAAATGCTAAAGTCTGTCCAGGTTTAACAGCGATAGAGAGTCCTTTCAGAACCTGAATATCAGGCCGAGAAGGGTATGTGAATTTACAATTAAGAAATTCAACACTTCCCTTGAAATCCTCCTGGTGAAAAAAAGAGAGAGAAAGATGTTACAATGACCTAAAGCTCAAAACTGAGAGTTGTAAGGTACAAAATAAGTCTTCTTCAGATACCATTCTGGCATCTCTTGTTTAAAATACGACATTCGTGCTTGTGAAATTAGCTGAGGAAAAGGGATAAAAACCACACTGGAGTAGCTGTCGTAGACATGAAGCTATTAGTCATAACACTATTTCTCTGCTTGTACTTCCCCACATGGCACTGGTCAGAGCCATCAATTGATGGGATTGCCTTGCAAATGGGTAAGTTTTTAATTTTAATACAGACACTCTGTATAAAATAAACAATTTGAATTTTCTGGGTCTGACTTTTCAATTCACCAGAAATTGAGCATTTTCATTTTGTCTGACTCAGTGATGCTTCGCCTCCTCATGAACACCCCCACCAGTTTGATGTGAATGGAAAAAGCCTCCATTGTAAGCCAGCGATAGTCAGGTTTGTGCATGAACTGCAGAGCAGGAAATAAAAACTTGTTATTCTGTGAGTCATCCAAATCTGTTCCATTCCAATGTACAGGTATTTTACATGCCAAATTCCTAATGGCCCACTTTATACTACTCTTGCTGCCTAGTACAGAGCTCACTGCTTCTAAAAGAGCAAAGACAAGTAACAATTACACAGCCAGCATAACCTTCTTGTAAAGCAGTGATCCTCATTGACTCCTGAATCATTAGTGCAACTTCCATGCTTATATTGAGCTGAATGACATCACAAATTACTCATCTCCACTCTTACCCATTTTTCCCCTTTTTCACTGTAAACACTGATTTTAGGAAGCCGATCGACCAGTTGAAAAAAGCGTGCAGCAGATGTTTTGGCTTTGGCATAGTTTGGGGTATAGGAAGAAGCTTTTCCCAAAGCAGTTCCACTGGTGACTATAGCAGAGATCACCCTGTGGGGAAGGGGGACATCGTCATTCTTGGGAAGCCATCGGGGAACTGAACCCTAGACCAGCACTTCTGGAGACCTGTTTGTGGCTCCAAGCAGACTCTCACCTGAACACAAAGCTGTAATGGAGTCCTTCAGAGTCAACTAGAAACCCCCCGTATCTGTAGGAGACAGAGTTGGCAATGAACACTATGCTCTGGGCAAAGCCAAAGCAGAGCCCGTAAACGTGTGCTTTTTTGATTGCAGCTCTATAGGGCATATTCAGGTGCTTCTCAAAATTGTTGATAAACATTTTCTCTTTCCCTATCCCAGCTACAGTCCTGATGTTAGAGACAGCTTCACTGGCAATCTGGAGGAGAAAAAGAAAAAAAACAGGTAAAAGCTCCAAATTTTTTCTTGGAAAAAGTTGAGTGTGCTTTCACAAATGCATGATTCTTTCATGAACACAGGACACTATTGCAATATATAAATTCATTCAAACATGATACAGACTGGCCCAAATATCAGCCAGCCTAAAAAGAACCTTTCCTACAAGCAATTATCTACTGACATCCTCAATAGCAATGTTTTGCATGCTCCACTGGAGCTGACTTACTGTAAGTGCACTGAGGGAATCAGGCACATGCTCTCACTTGTGATTTATTGCACATAATGTGAATAAATGCGACATCTGCAAAAGGAAAAATGTTTTTAGGAACACTTATTCCTAACATTAGGAAAGGTGAACCAAACTGCTGAGAGATCTGTGTCTACCACTTCAGTCCAATCATTTCTGAAAGGTCAGTCACACTCCATGCAGCAACTGCTTTTGCAGTTAGGGAGTTCCCAACAGCGTTTCAATGGTTTGACAAGCTGAAATATTGCACCTTATTTGCAAAACATTGCCAGTTTACATTTGAATTACTGAGGATCCCAAAGGACCGATTTTTCAACTACCCATGACTGCAAATATGAATTAGTCTTTTAAACAGCATTACCCGTCCAGTAGCTTCCAGAGCTTTCTTGTCCTGTGAGGCAAATCCTGTCAGCATTTTAGCCTGCACAGCTCCAGATAAGGCCAAAAATGGCAGGAAACACAATATAACTAAGGTCAGTTTCCAGCTGAAGTAGAAAGAAATGATCATGGCCACACCAACGTTAGTAAAGGAATTGACAATCATTCCTATCTGTGATCCAGTTGCCTTCGAAGAAAAGAAACAGAGATGACTGACTTATACTCCAATAGTAACTTCAACAATCTTAAAATAAATTTTCCTATAAAACTTCAGAAAACTCTAAATTACATTAAAATATCATAAGGCACTAAGAGCTGCTGACTGCACTGAAATTTAGCCAGTTTGGATAGTCTGTTTCCAATTAATTGTATCAAGAGGAAGCCTTCAAATGCTCAATATTCCTTTCATCCACCAAATTTTCCATTGAGAGTTCAGAATATTGTTTCTACTGATTGTGAGAGAGATAATCTAATTATTGAAATTAGTTCCCTTGGTTCCCTGAGGAATCACTCATCTGAATACACTGTTTAGCCCTCACATTTACCATCTATATATAAATAATAAACAGGACCCTTTTGTAACTTAGTTATGAGCAACAAAGCCTCAGCTGTGCTAAAATCAGTAAGAAACATCACTTAAAAAGCATGAAACAAAGCTGCATTTCTGCCTATCTTTCCTTTATTAAGGAAAAATTTTAAATATAGCTTTGACATCACCTTTATTGAATGCATTCATCTTCTCCTTATGCACTTCAACAACACTATTCTTTTTAATAAATTTTATTTGTTTACTACTTTCATAGCAGTAAACAGCAGCCTTAGATAGGAACTATGCTGCTATGTATTAGAATAAAAATGTACATTTGATATCCTTGATGACTTTCAGTCAAATCCATTTGCAGGATGTGAACTTGCAGCACAAAATGCTTTACCATCTGTTCTCTGACCTGCAGCAAGCTCTGTGTCAGTCAGGGAAAGGTGGAGGGCACTGCTGCCCAGGTAGCTCTGTTCCCCCATCCCAAGCTGTGGAGTGGATGGCTGTGCCCCACTGCTCTGCCCACTGCTCTGCATATGCTTTGAACAAAGCTATCCATTAGGAGGCTATTATACAGTTCACTCAGTGTTTTACAAGTTTATTTATTTCAATTAAAATATGCCCTGTAAGTGCCTGTAAGGTTTGCAGTTAGTTTCTCTGATTCTGTCGAAATTGCTGCTGACAGGGGTTTTGGAAACCTCTTCTCT